ACATTAGTTTAAATTTCTATTTTAAATCAGTTCATCTTTCAGCCCTTTATCGAGTTCTTGCTCTTCAGCTCATATAGCGTTTCCTCAGTGCAGACACTCAGTACTTTCTATAGTATCTATGCTGTGTAGTTTACCATAGTTATTTTTTTCTTTCTGTTTTTTGCCAGTGGGGCTAAAACCACGAGTACAGTTTGTGCTGGGAATTGATTTTAACTGTCTGGAGTGCCAGACCCAAAAGGTTATTTGAGATGTGCTGAGAAGTTTGTTTACAAGTAATGCCTTAGCAGTGAATGCTTTGGGAGCATATTTTAGAATGCCAGTCTGGATGAGATTTTTTTTTTTAAAGCACTTGCAAATGCACAGACACACATATCGTATCGAGAGGATGGTAGACCCACCTATCACTGTGAGGTTTACCACTGAACTGCATGGCACATTCTGCACACCGCTTTGATTTTTTCCCAGAGGCAACGTAGGTGAACTTAAGAACCCCATATGTTTTACACCCCACCCACTGCTTCTCATTTCAGTTTAAACAAGCCTCCGTCTCCTTAAGTGACATCCCATTGTTTTAAAAAATTTTAAACGATCCTTTTGGGTAAAGGTGCACGATTATAAAAGTGTGACTGCGGCGTCACATTTATTGGCTTTATAAAGCGAGGTGCTCAACAGAATTATAGGTGAAAAAGAATGACCTGACAGTTGATGTTTGTTTAATCTAAATGAAGCCATTTTACTGCTTTAATAAAGTCTCATTCGGATGCGGTGCCAAATGGAGTCTATCCACTAATCTGTGTCGTTTGTTTACAGTATATAAACTGCAACAACCATGAACGGAGGCAGTAAAGTGCATGAATGAGCTGCCCACGAGGGAACGGACGTATCGGCAGCCTGATGTGTGTCCTCATTGTGTACATCCTTACTGTTGTCTTTTTGAGTCTAACAACAATAACAAACATTGCATAATGCCTCAACCAGCGAATAAGTTGTGCCCAAACTCGGAGCCGGATCTGCCAAAAGACGGTCCATGATGAATGTGTTTTGCATATATTCTGCTCCTTAATTTTGTTTAGTTAATTGAGATGTTCTTTTTCTAACCTACTTATGCTTTCAAAGCTTTTTTTGTTCCGTTAACTTTTGGATGGCTCAGTTTCTGCCTGAAAACTTAGTAGGTAAATTAAGACACAAGGAAACCTATCTGAGGTAATTATTTAGATCCAAGTGCAAGAATCGCTGTAAGCAGACGATGCCAGATTAATGCAGAGTATTTTAAATTGTCTGACAACACTGTTTTTTTAATGATTTAATCCAAGCTGTCGGCAGCAGACTGGATTGCTGCCAGTCTTTTGTTGAGTCTTGTCCAAACTTTGGAGTCTTTAAAGCGGTTGACCTTGAATATGTTTTTCGTATTTTCACTCAAGAAGTGCAGACCGTAGAGGATCCAAAACCCTGAACTGTGAGTCAGATTTAGAGTTACGGCTTATTTAGTTTGGAGCACACACAGCATTTGCTCAATTCTCGTACCTGCCCAGTCACCTTGGCTTCTCCACTTTTATCTCAATACAAGGTGCCCCCTCGGAGAGGAGAGTGACCCGCTGCATGCGTCCCCTGTGTTGCTTTGCCTGCTGTCAGACAGCGAACGGACCCTGGCGCGCTGACAGCTGGCTCCCCTGCTGTCCCCTGTGATCAGCAGTCATTTGCTGTACTGCGTCTCACAGCCGCCGTGGCTGCCAGTGTGGACACTGACAGGCTATTTTGGACTGAAATTCCAACATCCCCCTGTCAAAGCAAACAAACCCTACCTTAAAGGTCAACAAAAACCCGGAGAGAAACACAACGTCAGGGCATCTGATCGTTTGTTTGTTTGTGGACCTGCGTGAAAATGTTCGAGCAAGGTTATGATATTTTTGATCGTCACAGATGTGTCCCTTGAGATACAGAGATGATCGTGCCCTTAGAAAAAGGGCTTTACTTAAAGATTTGCTTAAAAAAACACCCACTTGGGGCGCCGCTATAGCTCACCTGGTTGAGCTGGCGTCCCATGTGCAGGGCTACAGTCCCAACGTGGTGGTCATGAGTTCGAATCCCGCTCGTGACCCTTTCCCACATGTCCTCCCCCATTCTTCTCCCCTACTTTCCTCTCTCTCTGACTACATTATCCAATAAAGGCCAAAAAAACAACTTTAAAAAAAAAAAACACTCACTTAGTCATGAGGTGATGCGGTGAATTCAGGCTAAACAAATGAGCCACAAGCAAAAAAACATAAGTAAAATGCATCGAAGTCCAAATAACGTTTAACTTTTTTACACGTTGGCATATTTTCCAAATCTGCCCAATGTGCTCCGTTGCTGTACTGGAAGCCGTCAGCTGCCAAATGCCTGTGGTGATAATTATTCAGCACTAACCCTTCGCGTGGATGCACCTTTAACCTCGCACATAATTGTTTTGTAATTGTGATACAGCTCTGGCAGTTTCATCACTCCGTCTAGCGGCCCGGCTCCATCCACCGGCTTTGCTTTGGCTGTAATTACATGCAATTTTGCAAACATCCAATCATAAGGAAAAGGGTTGTTTTGACAAGACACGCTTTTTTTTGATTGCAATCACTCAGACGTTTATTTTTTTCCGTGTTTATCTCTTTTGTGTGCCAAATGCGATTTCGTAAGCGTGCAGCGTCATGTGATAAATATGCAAATTTTCTTTTTCTTAATAGCATTCTAGGTGAAGCCTGTTTTAGAGGTGCGGCGTCACCGCTAATGCATTCATCTGCAGCATTAGATTAATCTTTAGGATTATGGAGACCTTTAGGGGAACTCTTTTTCTCTTTCCATTACACATCACAGTAATTTAGGATTGTTCAATAGGTCAGGGGTAGACGTTAAGCTGGAGATGAGCGCGTGAGAAATGCTGGCTCATGGAACAAGCCCATTTGCTGAGGTGAGACTCACATTTATAATTTCGGCGCTGCAGAGTGGGAAATTCACAGACTGCACCAGAAATATTGTACATCTGCATGTCTTGTTGATAGCAAGACTCTTTTGGAAGTGTGAAGGTTATGCACCATGTTCAGATCGCTGCATGCAAGTTATCTCCCTTATTTCAGTATCTTTGGGAGCGTCTGTCCAGGCGTAACAGAGGATAGCCGAACCAAACTGATATTTAGCCCTATCTATAGGGAGAAGCACGTGGCGGAGATGCGACCCGCAGCTCTTTTCGCGCCAGATTGACATTTTCGTTGGCGGTGTCAATTGAATTCTCTTCACCTATTACTGCGCGCTCACTCACGCGGACACTCGTTTGATTTAGCAGCCGCTCAGGTGAGATTCCAGTCTGGGGACATGAAAGCTATTACGCACTTGATGCTACTTCTCCAGGCGAGGGGGGCACAAATGAACAAATAAGATCTATCTCAGTTGGTCTGATTCGAAATAATTGCCTATTTGTCACAATTAATTTCGGAGCTTTGACTCTGAGACCCTTTGATATTGATATTGAATTCCCCATCATCGCATACCTGAGGACGCGGTCATTAAACGGAGCCGAATCCAAAGAATTAGTCCCCGCGTTAAATGAGTGATAAAAGGGTCAAGACGACCCCGGATAATTTCCCACATCTGACTGAGGACGGGGAGGTGAAGTGAAGCAGAAACAGGAAGTTAATGTGTGGAAGAGACGTAACTCTACTGTCGAGCCACGAACATGGCTTATCCCTCCTCCCCTCCCCTCCGAGCTGTCTGGCCTTTTCTTCACTCTTTGATTTGTGTGTTTTTTTTTTTTTCCTTCTGTAGCCGTCATTCCTTTGAGTCAGTGTTTGTGTATGTATAGGGTGCAGAGCGTATGCGCAATATGTATAAAGGGTAATCCTCTCTTGGACAGGGACCAGAGGAGGCAAGGCGCTCATCTTCACAGGAACTAATCACCCGATCCCGCCTGCTGTTTACAGAAGCAGTCTCGCCAGCCAAAATCAAATGCAAAGCCCATGTTAATTGCCTTAATGCGGCTTCCCTGTCAACCATGGCTTGGCAGCAGCCCCCAGCACTAGGCCACAAAATGAATTCTTTTCAATTCGTCAATGAATGCCAAGCACAAAGGGGAGTTCCTGCTCCTCCGGAATGAAGAACGGGAATCAATTTTTATCTTCTGATATTTTACATCAAGGAGAGCAGGGCGGTGGCATGGGAGGGCCAAGGAAAGCGGGGGCTGGCTCATTACGACGGAGAGGGGGGGGAGAAGTTCATGCCTTGCTGGGGTCATTATTAGACCAGGACCATTAGTCTCGCCGGGGTCTAGTGTGTCACAGATGACAGTTGAGTCCATCTCTGTGCCGCCTGCTCTAATGAGAAGCTGCAGGCCCAGGATTTGACTAATTTCCTCGATGCCCAGAAAGATATGTCAGGTGGGTCGTCCTGCGCCTAATGACTCCCGATACTTAATGAAGCATTGGTGGGATTTCCGAAGACGTGGATGGCGTTTATATTAATGCACTTCATAGTTAGCGCGCTCTGGAGGCTTGTGGAGTCCTTTTGATGTCCTGACTGTGCTGCTGACAACATGGGTGTGGATCATGTGTGCGAACATGCACACTGGTGTTCAAAGAAAGTGCATCACCCCATCGAACCATAATTGCCGTTTGAATAACCAAAGTATATGACGACATTACTTTCACGTTGCATCAGCTGTGATTGACGTGGGTAGGCGATGATGTAATGTTGCATCAGCTGTGACATTCAGTTGTATAAGCACGCTCTGCCGGAGATGCAGTCATCCTTCGCTTATGTCAAGAAAGAGGGGGGGGACCTGGTGAACTTTTAATTTTGTTTTCCATTTAAAATGATAAACTGCAGCAACTTCGGGGCTTCTGATGACATTTCAGCCACAAATGTCGTGTTTACCGAGACTTGTTGTGTAAAGGTTGCAGATGTTCATTTTGGAATATATTGAAAGCACCTCAAATATCAGCTGGCTTTGCTTTACGTATTGACGGATATCTTTTGTTTATGTTGCTGTTTGTGATGCTAGTTTTTAATATAACATACCTGGCAAAAAAAAAAAGGTTAGAATTTATTTCTTTTAATTTTTTTTATTTTGCTCATCACAAAAATTGCATCTTTAAATGTGTTTTTCTGATCAAAACTAGAGCAAAGTTATATGATCACAGAAAAACAACTGTTATGTGCACTGTAATAGTTTGTGGAGCAGTGGCTCTACAGATTTGAAGAACTACACAATAAGAAATGGACATTAAATTGAGATATTGACATCTGCTACAACCTACTGCTAGCAACATTAGCACTGCAGCATTTTGACCCAACATGGTAAATACTGTCCCAACAAATGTGAAACAGGCAACACCCTTGTTTTTCTAAAGCTAGGATACAGTGTTCTTCTCATTCCTCTCCTGTGCACTTATGAAAACAATCAAACCTACGCTGAACCAAAGCAAAGGGAAAAATGGCTTGTTTGACATACATTTCAGTGCCTATTGGTATTGCGTGTTCAAATGCTATGACATACAAAATGCACACAGTGTACGCTTAGGTCTTTAAGCAGAGACAACATCATGTCCACATTTCCATCAGTCCAACATCAGCACATCTTTCTGATGCGGCTAAATTTCCCCGAGTGACATTTCCAAAATACCAGACGTGCGTTCGCCGGAAACCAAGTGCAGAATAAAAAGGTCCTACGCTCCCTCGGTAACCGCACACTTCTGTCGACGCTTTGACCTGCTGACGTCGCCCACGCGGCCCTCGATAGAGTTGAAAAAGTCTCATACAGAAACCAGTCAAGCTGGTAAACATCACATTTCACCCTCATGTGATTCTCATCTCCACCGTGTCCGCCATGGGTCAGGAGCTCATCTGTCCTGAAGGAACAGCACAGCAGCTGATTATGATGGATTATGATAGATTCCTCCTTGACTGACCTCTGCAGCCTGTCGCACATTACTCACTGCATTTGCACGCACACATGCACATAAATGTTCATATTGTAGATGCTTTATGATAGATGCCTGGACGACGCTTTGCAACAGGAAGCTGCTTTTTATGCAGCAACAAACATGCAGCACATACGGTCACACATATTTCATACACACTGTGAGTTAATGCATGCATGTAAGACAACAATGCGGCGCTTTTGTGTTGGTTATAAATTACCCCTTTGCAAGTTAGCTCAGATCGGTAACAAGGAGAGTCTTGAACCTAATTAACTCACCACAAACTCACATGAAAGCACATAAACCCACTGGAGGAATGAAGGAGGGAAAAAAAAAAACTTCTAAAACCCAGGCCCAGAGAGGGGCCATTTGTTTTCATTTGGTTTGGTGTCTTTACCGGTGCTGTGCTGAGCACTTTGAGCAGTGTGTCTCTGTCAGACCGGCCACCTCCTCCTCCTCCTCCTCCTCCATCCGCAACCACCACCCCTCATTCCATTACCGCAGATGGTAGTGCCGTCGCAGCGGTGAAGAGAAATGAGGTGGATGGCGCTAATCGCTGGTGCAGACTGATGCGTGTCCAGTCACCTGGTCAACGAGCTGCGAAAGCAAATGGATGTAAGGCAAAGGCCATCAGAAACAATGGCTAAAGTAGAGGAGTGTCAGAGTAGATGGGCGATATTGACCCAGTGGAGGCGATTGAGGTCTCAAGGAACTGCAGCTCTGGACGTGAGCCTGCATGTGATATTGAGCAGCAGGTGCACTGACGTATTACTTTGCCTTTGCCTTTCATATGATGAGCCTTACAAAGCTTTTTTTTTTTTTCTCCTTTCCTCAATGCAATGTGAGAGTACTTTTTAGCCATTACCATGACAACATAGAGGTCTGTGGCTCTGTGTAACAGAATTACGAGTCTGAGTAACACAGGGCAAGTGAAGCCAGAGGAAGCGGGCTCACCGGCGGAAAAAAAGGAGAATTAAGTGGCGAGCGGCAGACACAATGGGGGCCGTCCACGCCGCGATCGTGTCTGGATAGATTTGGATGAATAAACACAGCGTGCACACCTGAGTAAGTGCACACTGTTGAACGCATGAAGACACGGCAGGGGGAGAAAAAGAAAAATCTGAAAAGAAAAAAAAAACCTCTCCTTTATCAAACAGAGGAGGCAGAGCAGCCTAATAGAAAGTGAGATATCCCGGGGCTGTGAACTCATTGCCCCGGCTGTAATTACCAGTTAGAAAATTTGGTCACCTCGTACTGTCATGACCTTTCTCATCACCATTCATGTCTTTTCCCGTCACGTTGCTTCTGTGTCTAAGTTGGCCTTTTACTGATAGCACATAGACTGGAATCTTATTGGAATGACCTTTAGTTATAACATCAGCTGCCACTGTGAGAACCATTCACACACCTTCTACCTTTTAAACCAAGGCCCCTCCATTTGACTTATTACCATTTTCACTCATTACCATTCGGTTGAGTAGATATTATATTATACAGAGAGACAGAGAGAGAGGGGGGGGAGATAGACACCAGAGAAGAGATAGAGAGTACAGTCAGGGGCCATTGGCACTATTTCCTCTCATCTGCATTCTGTTGAAATAAACATTTTCATTGTATTGCCCCCGTCATTTCCCCTTTACCCCTTTCTCCTTAATGTGTCGTCTCTATCTGGCGTCCCTTTATTTCTTCTCCCGCTCACCTTGTCCTCTCTCTTTCTGTTCCTCTATCGCACTCTTTGCCCCGGTGCATTCGGCAGATATTGTTAATTCCCACTGCTTTTCAACCCCTGCAGTGACTCCATGGCCTGGCTACACAATTAGGAGCTCATTACTTGCTAATACACCGACTAGAAGACAGACAAAGGCAGTCTGTGCCTTTTTTGTTGTGCGCTCCTCGCTTCCATCATTTTATCTCTCTCTCTCCCCAGGCACTTTTTAAGCAAAAAGGGTGCAATTTCTCTTCCTCCTCCTCCTCCTCCTCCTCCTCCTCACTCCTCTCATCATACCCTCCGCTACCGCACATCTCCTCTCCGGTGCATAATGAGTCTGCATGTGTTAAGAAGAATTAATAGTTCAATTTCCATCTCTTAAGCATTGTTTTTATGAAATTATACTCTCAGCCCATACACCTAGCACATTTGGGGCTTTTTTTTTTTTTTGCTCGTCATTTTCCGGCTCATTTAGCGTCTAGACAGTTTGAATGTTTTATAAATTTTGTTTACCTGACTGTCGGCGATGCGTTTTGATCCCTTCGCTTTATGTTTTCTTGCCTTTGTGCTCAGAGCCCCGGGTCTACGACTAAAAAGCGAAACTGAGAAACGGTTTGAGAGCGTCTCGCAGGTGTGACGTGAGGTCAGTCCTGCCAGATTCCCTCTGTGGCACTGTCTGCATCGTTTCTCACTATCCGGCTGGCGCTGCTGAAATGCCAATTTGCTCAGCGGGGGGTCTCGCTGCATAGCGGTGGATGAAGGGTTGGTGCTGTTTACCAGTGTGTTCTGCGACAGTTGACTGCATGATGAAAGAGCGGCAGGGGAGTGTTGACATTTAGTTTTGTGCCGCTTATGGCCAACGTGGGGGATCAGAATTAATGGAATAGATGTTTGTCTGAAAGAGGAAGCTCCTTGCTCAGGAATGATGAAGAAATACAAGATTGTAAGAAGACATTTGTGTGGCGTACTTTTCTTTGTCTATTTTTGTCTGTGTGTGTCAAACAACACTGCTTTGTGTCTACATTTGAGCGGCGAGCAGCTTCCCCACAGTTCCAACATCCAAATCTCATTTTAGACATCGTTCTCCTCCTCCTCATCCTTCCTTCCCTCTCCCGGCCGCTCCTCCTCGCTGTGAAGGTAATCCCAAGGTGATGTTAATAGGCTGGGATTCTGTTGAAATTGCCGCTGTCATCTCTTGGAGGATTAGATGGACAATTGCTTCGCGGAAACCCGAGCCAAGTGGTTAAAAGAAAATTGCAACAAAACAACTTTTCTGAAAGTGCCTTACACTGCCAGCGTGTGAGCAACTCGTAGCGGCGCTGCGCCGGATTTCACACCCTGAATATTCATCTAGCATTGTAATGCGTTTATGTGCTAATCTCCATTTTAATGTAACCGCAGATGGACTCATAAACAACAAAAATAAAGCAATGCTACGGGAGTATAAGCTCAGTGTGATCTGTGATTACAGATTAATAGGAGACCAGTGTGTGACTGATGGAGCCTTATTTAGCCAAGCCGGCCTCTTTTGGCCAGTCATTGTTCCAAAGACTCAAAAGCAGCCTGTTTTATAAAGAAACAGCTGCTAAATTAATACATAATAATAACACAGAGGCTAATGAAACATGAAGTGTTGTGCTCACGTTGCCAGAGAGCTGCGTGTGCAACTTTCTTTATGCTTCCATCAACCTTTATGCATCCATATATAGGAACACTGAAATAGCTTTAGGGAATCAGTTGCAAGAAATAACTTCTTGAACAGGCAGCTCCACTACAAACGTCTACAACAGAAGCCGGCGTGAACCTGTGTAATATCACTTAAATGTAAAATTGCATCACCTCTTAATGATTGCATCACTTCTAAATTGGAGTATTTCCTCTTTTTAACAACTGAAAGAAATTGCGGTAGAAAGACTATATTGATGATGCAGGCCCCAAAGTAGAAACGTAGTGCAACAAATTGAGTGCATTTAGAAAGCCACTGAATCTAAATTGAGTGTGATTTTCCAAGCAGCCTAACTGCCTGTATATGGTTATAAATTGACCAGTTAACAGCAAAAAACTTTCCCAGTGTTGGATCCGCGGGGCTGTGTCTATCTGCATGTCTGCTTCATGGGTCCCCATTAAAACATAATTATCAGAGGAACAAAAAAATCTGATTGAAATCTGAAAGCATAAAGGAAGATTGGTGCCCAACTAAAGTTTCTGGGGAGAAACAGTTGCAGCAATAATCAGGGGTGTAGAATAAGCCACAGTACCACTGATCAGAGCTGCAGTGGCTGTCCTAACATGACGGTGCCTTCTTGCACAACATAGGTCTGATAAACAAGCAAGCCGTCAAGACTCGGCACCGGGGTTTTGGCAATTTGGCGACAAACAGTTTGAAGTCCAAGAAGAAATACTTTGCTTGATCTTTGGCACAAAATTGCAAAGTGAAACCTTTCTAAAGAACATGCAAAGAAGCTTGATGCATATCGAGAGCACATCCTTTGACCAGATGAGATAAATTGAATGGGTCCAGCATGTCTAGACCTGTCCAGGACTACCGCAGTGAATGCATCGACCCGACAGTGAAGCACACAGAGGTGGTGGCAGTGTGATGATACTGGGCTGCATGAGAGCAAAAAGCATCTATCTATGATTTATAGACTACACCTTGGAAGCCTGTGGACAAAAAAAAAGAAAAATACTGGCAGATAAGATGGCTCTCTGTCTCCAAGCTTGGCAGAAGAGGAATAGTCCAGCATTTAAAGCACACTGGCAAAATCACACAAGAGTCTCTAAAGAAGAAAAAGGTGAAAACTGTGACCTGGCCAAGTGTATCACCTGACTGGAATCCAATATAACATCTCAGGGGTATTTTTTGAAGAGAGAGAGAGGCAGAGCAACACAATCCCTTCAGCAAAGAGCCGCTGAAAAATATAGGTTCTGAAAAATAGCGTCTCTTCAGAAATTTGTGGCATCCTCCTGGCCGAGGACGAGGACTGTCTTCAGGAAAAAAAAGGCGGACGTACAAGTATTTGCAATCTCAGTAATGAATTTGCTCTGGTTTTTGTTGCATTGAGTTTCTACTGGACGGCCTGTATTTTGTTAATCTTCCATCTGAGCAAATGCACAACTTAGAAGTAATCTATATGCTGGAAGGTGATGCAAATGCTTTGACATTTACATAATATTGCGCCGGGATCTTCTCACTTCTGTTGTGTACCGCATATGTAGAACAAGTACTTTCTGCAGCTGTGCTCAGAGGAGAGAAACAATCATTTATTTCTCCTCTGACCCACCCATCACCCAGTTTATGTTCCACCCAGTTAAGCCTTTTTGTAAGCGGGTGTGTATTTGAGCATCGTTAAAGCAGATACCATTCGTGGATCATCAGAATTTTTTACATTTTATAACTTGTCTAATAGTTATGTGTTTTATTCTGTCGGTGAAACATGCACACCTGCACGTCCTCTGTTTTTTAAAGCTGGTATTCTCTTTCTCTCTCTTGTCTCTTTGTCTCCCTGCCTCGCTCCGTTCACTCTGGTACTATTTCAGCCCACAGATGCACTATCAATAATGCAGCCTCTTTAACAAGGCTGAAGCTTTTAAGAGGGTTTGTAAAAGCCCCTCCCGTCCCGATGCCACCCAGTCGTTGGGCGGTCACATCCGAGTGGAAAAAATCTTTGATTCCGTTCCGAAACCAGGAATAAATTCGCTGTTAACACACATTTTTATAACTTTCTTTATGTCGTTTTCAAGGCTGTTTCCTCTGAACCTTGCAACTGCTGGAACTCACTTAACGCTGGCAAGCTAAGAAGTCACTGTCTTGCCAGGGATGTAAAGAACTGAGAGCTGACTGCATCGCCGTAGGCGAAAATGAAATGGTTGCTAAAGCAAGAAGGG